TTCAGAAGTCTGAAGTGCAAAGAGACTTGGGAGTTCGAGTCCAGGATTCTTTCAAGGTAAACTTGCAGGTTAAGTCAGTAGTCAGGAAGGCAACGTTGGCATTTATTTTGAGTGGACTTGAATATAAAAGCAGGGATGTACTACTGAGGCTTTATAAGGCTCTGGTCAGGCCACTTATGGAGTATTGTCTGCAGTTTTGGGGCCCATATCTCAGGAAGGATTTACTGGCCCTGGAGCGGGTTCAGAGGAGGTTCATGAGAATGATCCCATGAATGGAAAGCTTAACATATGAGGAATGTTTGAGGACTCTGGGACAATACTCATTGGAGTTTAGAAAGATGAGGGGGGATCTAATTGAAACTTACAGAATATTGAATGGACGTCAGGGAGATGCTTCCATTGGTAGGAGAGCCTAGGACCCGAGGGCACGGCCTTAGAGTAAAGGGAAGACCTTTTACAATGGAGATAAGGAGAAACTTCTTCAGCCAGAGAGTGGTGAATCTATGGAATTCACTGCCGCAGAAGGCTGTGGAGGCCAGGTCATTGAGTACATTTAAGACTGAGATAGACAGGTTCTTGATTGTCAAGGGGATCAAGGGTTACGGGGAGAAAGCAGGAGAATGGGGTTGAGGAACTTATCAGCCACGATTGAATGGTGGAGCAGACCCGATGGGCCGAATGGCTTAATTTCTGCTCCTATGTCTTATGGAACGAGCCGCCAGAGGAAGTGGGTAGGGGCTGGTACAATTACAACATTTAAAAGGCATCTGGATGGGGACATGGATAGGAAGGTTTTAGAGGGATACGGGCCAAATCGACGAGACGAATTAAGGCTTTGTGGTTGGCATGGACGGGTCGGGCTGAAGGGTATGTTTCCGTGCTGTGTGACATTAGGCAGCTCAGAGGAACAGACGGATTTTGGGGAGCTGATCAACAGATTGCTGAAGGTCGCAATCCAGGTGAACAGGGGAGTTAAGTAGGCACATGGGATGCTTGCTTTTAATCAGTCGAGATGTAGATTATAAGAACAGGGAGGTTATGTTGGAGCTGTACAGGACTTTGGTGAGACCACAGTTGGAGTATTGTGCGCAGTTCTGGTCCCAGCACTATACGAAGGAGGTGATTGTACTGGAAGGGTGTTGTAGAGGAGATTCACCAGGATGTTACCTGGGATGGAGCACTCCAGCAAGGGAGAGAGGCTGAATAAGCTGGGTTTTTTTTTTATCTGTAGGAGAGAAAGGTGAGAAGGCAGACCTGCTGAGATCAGGAGGGGCATGGATAGAAAGGAGATGTTCTCCTTCACAAGAAGGGTCGGTAAGACCATTTTAAGGAGGTTCAGAGGGGATTTTACACTCAGAGGATGGTGGGAATCTGGAATGCTCTGCCTGGGAGGGTACAGGTACGGTCCTACAGCACAGATGCAGACCCTTCGGTCCAACCAGTCCATGCTGACCCATAATCCCAAACTAAACTAGGTCCCACCTGCCTGCTCCCAGCCCATATCCCTCCAAACCTTCCTACCCATCCACTTATCCAAATGTCTTTTACATGTTGTAACTGTGCCCACACCCACCACTTCCTCTGGAAGTTCATTCCATTCGTGAACCACTCTCTGTGTAAAAAAAAAATTGCCCCTCATGTCTATTTTAAATCTTTGTCCTTGACCTCAAAAATATGCCCCCTAGTCTTGAAATCCCCCATCCTAGGGTAAAGACACCTTATCTATAACCCTCATAGTTTTATAAACCTCTATAACATCACCCCTCAATGCTCCAGTGAAAACAGTCCCAGCCTCTCCCTATAACTCAAACCCTCCATTCCCGGCAACGTCCTGGTCAATCGCTCCCGATCCTCTCCAGTTTAATCATATCCTTCCTATAACGGGCGGGGTGGGGGGGGGGGGG